CCCACATTGCATTCTGAACAAGTATTCTGTCCAGGATCTTCCGCCCCTTTGGTCTTGGATGGGCATGACTTGAAGCTACTTTCAGTCAAGGTTGAAGGGAAGCTTCTAAAGGTATCCACTTAATCCTCAAACGTGTGGAAAATTTTCGGATCTCTAGGCGGACTCTGTTATTCTAATTAGCACATAAATAATATTTTCTCGAACAATAGCAACTCGGTAGAGGAAAAAGAAGTAACTCAGTTTCCTTTGTTTACGTGGTCTTTCTTTTCATATCTGTTTCACTTTGTTTAGGAAGGGGATTATAAGTTGGACTCTCGTCATCTGACTCTCCCTTCACTTCCGGCCGAGGAGTCCTTTGTTTTGGAAATTGATACTGAGATATACCCTCACAAGAATACTTCACTTGAGGTAGACTTTTCTGATTCCGTTCCTTTACTTTTTCTCTTATCTCAGTGATTTAACAGTACACATTTAATCTTTTTTTGTTTCGTCTGTTAGGGACTCTACAAGTCATCTGGGAACTTTTGCACACAGTGTGAAGCAGAGGGTTTCCGGAAAATAACATTTTACCAGGTTGGTTGCAACTTTAGGTGGATATGATGACTATTGTTGATATAGTCCAAGTACATCCTTAGATTCTTACGTTTTGTTTTCAATATGCAATGACTAGGATCGTCCTGATATTATGGCAAAGTACACATGCCGTGTGGAAGCTGACAAGACACTTTATCCTGTACTTTTGTCCAATGGAAACCTCATTTCTCAAGGAGATACAGAGGTTTGCAAAATAGTGACCTTGTTTTTGGCTAAGTGTTCTCTTAGTTTGGTCTTTGCTGAAAGCATATTTCTTCATTGAAATGTAGGGAGGTCGGCACTATGCCCTATGGGAGGATCCATTCAAGAAACCGTGCTATCTATTTGCTCTAGTGGCTGGACAACTAGCGAGTAGAGATGATACATTCACCACGCGCTCTGGTAGGCAGGTATCTCTGAGAATCTGGACTCCTGCAGAAGATCTACCAAAGACTGCTCATGCCATGTATTCTCTGAAGGCGGCCATGAAGTGGGATGAGGATGTGAGTACTTTCGAAAAATTTATTATATTGCATCTATCTGTTATGTTACTGAATCTGAATCTTCTCTTGCGTTAACCTTTTTCTTTAGGTCTTCGGCCTTGAGTACGACCTGGATCTCTTCAACATTGTCGCTGTTCCAGATTTTAACATGTATGGACAAATAGTAGATTGAGTCACAGTTGATAATATTGGTCCATTTGCTTATATTTCTATCCAAAACAAAGAGCTCATGCTTCCATGTCTTTTACTGATTGTTGAGACTGGATAAACTAATTGATTTCTGCTTGATTTGTAGGGGAGCCATGGAGAACAAGAGTTTGAATGTAGTTCTACTTTGCTTCATACAAAATAACGTACTTGTGTTGATATTCTGTCTAAATGGAAATTCATGAGCTTCTCTACCTTGCAGATTTTTAATTCCAAGCTTGTCCTGGCATCTCCAGAAACTGCAACAGATGCAGATTATGCTGCAATTTTGGGAGTTATTGGTCATGAAGTATGTAATTGTACCATATGTTGTCTATTGAAATCTTATCTTGTGTATACTTATTTTTAATGAACGCATCTTTCATTGTTTTCTGTACAGTACTTCCACAATTGGACCGGCAACAGGTCAGCCTCATCTATGTTCCCTATATTATATGCTTGTCTGTCCATTAACTTGCATAAAATAGACATTGTTAGTATGCAGACTGGTATATGACTAAAACTCTATTTGTAACAACAGGGTGACATGCCGTGACTGGTTCCAACTCAGTCTAAAGGAAGGACTTACTGTCTTCCGTGACCAGGTACATTTATCATTCATTATCGAAAATAGGTATGACAATTTTTTTTTCTATTTAATGAATAAACTGCTCATATTCTGTACAGGAGTTTTCATCTGACATGGGAAGCCGCACTGTGAAGCGCATTGCTGATGTTTCAAAGCTTAGGATCTATCAATTCCCGCAGGTACCTTGTCTTGTACTCCTTTGAGGCTGCTACATGGGTTTGTTGCCTTTTTTTCATGCTAAATCCTCTGCTTTTATTTTATCAGGATAATGGTCCTATGGCACATCCTGTTCGCCCACATTCATACATCAAGGTCAGATATGCTTGTTACTTGTCTTGCCTTGAAAATCATGATCTACGTATAATCTTAGGTATTGATAAATATGGATCTTTTTCTTTCTCTGACAGATGGACAACTTCTACACAGGCAAGTTTCTTTTTGCTAGGAAGCCTGGGATTCTGTTATAGCAATTTATTTTGTTAATCTCAGTATTGTGTTCCAATCTAACGTGCTTGTGTTTTTGTAATCGTTTCAAAACCCCATTATGTGTCTGGCCATCACCGTGCTCTCTCAGTGACGGTAGGGAGCTAAGAATTCTTTTTCATTTTTTAGTTTTATTTCCCATCAATCCCTTATATATTAGTTCTAACAGAATGGTTTGTTTTCTGTTGTCGTTTCAGGTTTATGAAAAGGTTTGGTTCTTTAATAATAGTGTTGCTGTTACAAGCAGTAAGCAAGAAACCTTAGTTGACTGTATAATGTTTTCCTAGGGAGCTGAGGTTGTGAGGATGTACAAAACTCTACTCGGAAGTCAGGGGTTCCGAAAGGTTGCTCTCCAATACTG